TCCTTCTCTCGCGCGTTGCGAAATGTCGCGAAGCGACATCGCAAGAGCCGAAGAAGTTCGGAACGTGTTTTTGCCGGCGACGATATTTCACAATAAATTACGATGCAAAGTATGAATGGAAAGCCAACCTCTCCACGAGGTATACTACGCTCTACACGCGGTTATCTCCAACCGCTCGTCATCGGACGATGCGCTTCCTGTTGCCTTATCCTAACATCCTTTTTCCAGCGATAAACCCGTCGAGGCGAGATCGCTGCCTGCACAAAATGAAATCGAGGATCGTATCAGGTCGTTAGCTTCCAATCTAGCGAGAAATGCTCGTTATAATCCCGCGTAGTATAATTTCCCGAATCATTCTCGACAAGTTGAACGCGCCTAGAAATTAATCCTCGAGTGCATTATTAATTTTTCCTAAGGACTCAAGCAGCATCGAGAATATTTCTTATTTTCAACGATTAAAATTATGACTAGATCGTTTTTTTCGCGCGCGATTCTCGATCGTGCCGTTCCGTCGTCGAAAGAACGAGGAGGAATATATCGTCTTTTTTTTACGCTCTCGTCTCGCGCCGTGTCCGCCTTAGAACAGGCAGGTATATAGGAGGAGCAACGCGCCCACAAAACGTATATTTAATACATACACGGCACCTCCGTACGACATACCCGCGAGCAAATGGAGTGAACGAGTCGCGGGGCGACGGTGAGCGGGGGCAGGAAAGGGGGGAAGAGAGGAGGTCGAGGGAGTCGGGAGCGAGCGACGAGGACGAAAGAGGATGTAGTCGGCGGACGTTTACGAAGAGAACCGAGTCGCTCCGACATGTGGGAGAGAGCCCGATACTATCGTAACACCGCCGCGCAGGATCGGTGTTACCACGTTCGATCACCTGAACGGGTATTACTACTACTATCACTGCCGCCAAGTCCCTCCCGAACTCCCGCGACCCGCGTCCCCGAAGAAAAATCCCCTGGAGACACTCAACATTGCAGTTTCAACAACGCGTTTCACGACGCGCTTGAATCTTCTCGAAAGACTTAAATAAAATCCTCATGTACGTTTAATAAAAGGAAAAAGAAAACGAGTTGTAAAAATTATGCAAAAGTTGAAATATATGTGAATGAATTTTATTTCGGACAGACAAACAAGGGAGGAAAAGTGCCGCAGAGCGTAAATAAAAATGTTAACGATATTGCGTCTGCACAACTCTGCATATGTTGTAAACATAAAATGTATGTTGTCGGACTCGTGAAAAATTTGCATACTGTAGCAGTAGGGTGAAATTGAGTTTGAAGTAAAACCACTTATACAAACAGGTATATACTCGCTCTCGTTTCCATTCTTCTTTCTCGTTGGAAGAAAGGCACCGTGGCATCGCGAGTCGGCCCTGGCCGTACAACACGAGCATGAATGAAGTATCGCGTCTGGCTCGCAAGGTACGGTTATACGCAGGCGCGCGGCGCGGAGGGATC